TTCCCGGAGATTCGAACCCGCGACCTCCAGATTGAGAGTCAAGCGCCCTATTCTTCTGGCCATGCCGGGCCCCGTGCAAACATAAATGATATTGTACTTATTTGATATATAGTGATAGCATTTTATTTACCCAGCAAATTATTCAATTACTTTATTATTCAATTTTATTTTTAATCAAGTTTAGTGCGATAATTTATTAGTTCACTTGCAATTCTTGAGAATAAAGTCTTTCACTGTGCTAGGAAATGTTTTGTTTTGCAGTAAAATGTCGGCAGTAAAGTGACGACAGTAAAATGTCGTGGTACTAGGCATGATAAAGTGGTGTGGTATTCCCCCAGTAGGGATTTTCCTCCCAGTAGTCAGTTAAGGCCTGCTAACTGGAGGTTTTTGAAGGATACCAAGATACATAGTGTGTGTCTAATTATCTCTCCGAACTCCGACAGAGTCGCAGTAAAGAAAGAGTAGAAAAATGTACAACAATCTTTATTAATAAACAAACACAGTTAATAACACTAGACACAAAAACAAAGAGAGAGTTAGAAGAGAAGAGAAGCAAAAATTTATGAGTTCTTTTTCACTAGTCCAGTGACCTCCCCACCCCCGTCAGCTAGAAAAAAAAATCTATGAAATCTAAAATGAAAACAAACCCAAAGTTAAAATACGAAACAAAACAAAATGTCACGCCACGACTTAAAATGAAATACGTACAAGAACAATAAAAGTTACGTTATATACAAAGTTCAACACAAACAGTTGAACTAAAATTAGTTCGAATAAGGAAAAATATGCTAAAGAAAGGCGAACCTGGCTTTTAGTATTAGAATTACAATAATATCACATAACTTCAGGTTAAACACGTCCTTCCTCAACCACGTGGCTTTCATCCACTACGACTCTAGTGCTAGGGTGTAGGAATCCTGGGTCATTATCTAATTCGCCAACAGAAAAGACAGCCTTCTATTTTGGTATATCGTCTTTCCTGTAAGGAAGCGCAGTTAACTGCCAATTAATGAACAAGTTCAGGACAGGACTAGAACCACGAAGAGCTAGATGTGTTTTTTTGAGCGACTTGAGTGAGTGCACTATAAATCTGATGATCTACTCTCATCATCCTAACTGACAAGAGTAACCCCAGAGTTGGCTGTGGGAGCTGTTGTCTTATCTCTAGTCTGTCACTTTAAAAACCAATAGCCCTTGTAGAGTTTTATCAAAATTTTTAAACAAACAACATTTTCAAAATCAAAAACAAAAGTACTAGTAGCAGAAATTTAGCAAAAGTCTCGAACATATTCTGCATTAATATTCAAATATGGTGTTTGGTACAACAACACAGTGGAAAGTCGCATAGACTTAATATCCATAGTTGACAACATCAATACATCTCAGCAATTTCAGCTTTTATTCAGCAATAATACGTCTTCTGTTTCGTGAAAATTACAGTTTAACAGCTAATTACTGCAAATCATGCAACGCTTGGTACAAAATCGTACCAAAATATATTATATGTATTTAAAAACAAAACAAAAAAACGTACTGAAAAATAAAACTTATATATATACATAGTTTTCGGTCGAAGGTGATTACTACTTGAAATCATAAGTATTCAAAGACCACTATGTAAATAACAGATAATAAAACTATTTTTTCTGAAGGTCTTTGTGCAACATTCAACTGTGTCTATTTTAGCCAGAGAGGGAGAAATAGTTTTATTTGTTTGTTATTAAACACAAACCTACATAAAGGTTATCTGTGTTGTGCTCACAACGGGTATCAAATCCAGTAATAAGTGTAATAAGCCCTCAGACTTCCCATTGTGTCACTGGGAGGCAGAGAGTAAACGCTTAACTTGTTTTATATGCCCACTATGAAAAGAAACTTTGTATACATTTTTTTTTGGAAAACGATTATGTGTTTCAAGAGTGACGGTATTGGGGTAATTTGTGGGAATTTTTCAAATTACACAATACAATTCGCTTCTTAAGTAGCCTTCAGTAATTTACGAAACATTTTGCATTTAAAGGAAACAAACAGAATACAGCCACGTGTTCCATACATGTTGATAAGCATACTTACCAAATGATTGAGGGTTTTAAAAAATGTTATACCTAAGACTCGGTTTACTGCGTATTTGTCTATTAGAATTTATACTGCGATGAAAAGTCTTGGAGGTTATCCGTCGTTCCGCTTGAAATATCCGTTAATTGCGAATCAGCTTATGAATGTATCATCTTACAAACCCACGATGAATTACCCTCTGTAGGTGAGCAGTGAGTTTGAGACCTTACACGCTAAAATCCGAAGTTCTATTTCCTATAGTGGACGGAGTACAGATAGCTCGTTGTGTAGCTATAAATTAATAAAACAACAACAACCCGCAATGGAGTGTTCTTACAACTTTCAAAACGTAAAATATAACATCCCATTGTACTTTATTTTAGCTATTAAAACCCAAAACAGATCTAATGAGTTTATACATAACACACAAAAAACTCTTCATTACGCGTAAATGTATATGTTTTTTCCTGAAGTTCTACTAAATTATGTATACTTATGGCATTACCTTGAGACAGATATACGATCTGAAGAGCTCATTACCACTAATGATATGTACATTGGCATATAGCACACGCTCGCACTAGAGAAACCTTTCAATTATTTACTTCTCGTATCTCGAAATAGCACAGTAAACTAAGCAGGAGTTAGGGTAACCGAAAGACATCTGACAGGCGTTACTTAATTTCTGGCTATCAAACGATTATGCAGGAAATGTTTTTTTTTTGTTGTTGTTGTTCTATTAGTTTTAACAAATTTTGAAACTTTAGTAGTTTGAGTTTGCAAATAGGAATAATCTTAAGAATAAAACTGGACAGTAAAAGCTAGTCCAGTTATTGGGAAAGTTGTAGCTAGCTGCATGTTGTTTTAGACAATCACACGGAGTAGTTGTCTTCTTGGAAACTGTGTGGTATTTTCCTCTTAAATACACACAATTCTATAAGCTACAGATCATTCTATTTTTAATATAAGTTGTTACTGGTATACAACTTTTAAAAGTTAGAGATACCTGGAAAGAATCGCAATATTAATGTTTAACCTGTTTTACTTTCACCCCTTAACATTGAATTTGCATCTGAATTACAAAAATTGTGAACGCCAGTGTAGTATTCCTTTGTATTTAAATGGAACTTAATCACTGATTATGTATTAAAATATTTTATTTCAAGTTTAAATAAAATAATGCGATTATGTATATTGTTTGATTCGTCTAGATATCACAGAGATTATTCTATTTATTTTGATAAATACTTTAGGTGTCTGGCGCTGCATCTTAACTATTTATATTTTTACCTCAGATAACTATATAATGTCATAACATATTTATTTAATTATACCTGCACAGTCTACAATTGTACAAAATTAACAAGGAATATTTGTTAATAACATTTTATTTAATAGGAAAAAAAGCATAGCTCTGTACATTGGTTTCAAAGCGCCTCTTATCGGTGGCTAAACAACTGAAATTCTTTTTTATTATTCGATATTTTTAATGCGAACGACACCTTATGCGACACATCAGAGAGACTTGGGATTCAAATTAAAAAGTAACAAGATACCTTGTATCACTAGCATCGTATATGAAATTATAATAGCATCTACTTTATAAGAATATAGAGTAAAGCCAGAGAAGTATCTTAAACGGTTCTAAAAGTGTTTTTTTTTTTAAATACAAACGACATTCATTGTAAGACCAGAGATGCTTTAGGAATTGGGATTGGAACTTAGAACCTGGATGGCGCATTAGATAAATGGCCAGATCAGAGACTTACACAATTAAATTCATACAGAAGATACGTTTATTTTCTGTAGGGACTTAATGAATGCATTATATTTATCAAAATTACTTGTTTGTTGCTAAGCACAAGCTAAACAATGGGCTATCTGTGCTCTGCCCAACGCGGGCATTTAGACCCGATTTTTAGCAATATAAGCCTTCAGACTTACCTGTGAGTCACTGGGGGAGATTACCAAAATAGAACAGGAAAGGGAATACAACATAGTATAAAAAACAACGTTTATCAAAACAGGAAAAAAATGGATTTCTGTTTAATAGAGAAATCTTAGTAAAAGAACTGTATTCAGAAGAACTTTGTTTTAATTTTTATTTTCAGTCATTACGTCGTCACTTAACAATTGAAAAGATGGGTTGTGGAAGCAGCCACTCTGATATACATATGGATCTTGAGGTGGGTGATTTGTATGTTCTTTATTATCTAAAATCATACACTATTATGTCGTAAATCTTCCTAAAATTTATTGATAAGAAACACAATAATATATTTATGCTGAAAATACTGTTGCTCTTTTGATTATTTCCTGTTTAAACGTTTTTGGTTTTTAGAATATTCAAACATTTAATAAGTGTTGAAGGAAATAAAATAACTCTGCCATTTATGTGGGTAATTTGTATAGCTACAAAACTCAATGGGCTAAGCTAAACAAGTTTATCTGTGGTAACAAGATTAGAAAGTGTTAACTCCATGACGCGAGAAGAAGAATTATGATTATGTAAAATAACGTACAACGGAACAACTGAGAAGAAGGAAAGAGAAGGGACAACATTCCAATAACCCATTAAGCGGAAACTACTTACAGCTGATTTTAATACTAACAAAATAAATACTCTGAAAAAACTAAACATGGTTTCCTCGTAGTTTGTAATCCTATGTTTAAATCTGAAACATGGTTTCCTCGTAGTTTGTAATCCTATGTTTAAATCTGAAACATGGTTTCCTCGTAGTTTGTAATCCTATGTTTAAATCTGCAATGTTAACGTATAGTACTAGTATCTTAACTGTACGTAAATCTACGTCTAAGCCACCAGTGTTAGGATATAATAGCGTGGTATGTTATACTACGTTTAAATCTGCATGGTTAGAATATATTGATATAAAAGTGGAGTAGGGGGCCTGGCCACCAACAATTTTTAAAGGGGGCCAATATACATTTTGGCCCTTCCAATATTCCAAAGTATTTAAAACATTATATTTCTTTCAGTGAGAGATAGAGAGAACAGTTGATAGCATGGTGCTTCTCAAGTTATATAAAAACTATATACTTTTTTTATGAGTTTGTGTGTATGTGGGGGGGGGGGGAGCATATCGCTAGATGGTCATCATTATGCATGTGTACATTGCGAAAACATTAGAGCTACTCCGTAGAACAACGAACAATTTTTTTAAAATTTGTATTAAACACAGCTTTCTATCAGATGTCTCACTTTATTAATATTTGTCACAACTTTCTATCAAATGTCTGACTTTATCAATATCTGTCACAGCTTTCTATCAAATGTCTGACTTTATTGATATCTGTCACAGCTTTCTATCAAATGTCTCACTTTATCAATATCTGACACAGCTTTCTATCAAATGTCTGACTTTATCAATATCTGTCACAGCTTTCTATCAAATGCCTCACTTTATTAATATTTGTCACAGCTTTCTATCAAATGTCTCACTTTATCAATATCTGACACAGCTTTCTATCA